GTAAGAAGTTACTGTTCTAAGTACTGACAATATTCCACAAGCATTAAAGCGTTTCAGTTTTTGCGTCATGACATGTAAAGAGTTTGGTGGAGGATAGGGATAACAGTTCTTATGACACGTAATCGATTCATTACGAACTACTTTTGATAAAGACCAGCGTAGTCTCAGAAGCAACGACATTCTTTCGTCAAAAGTCGTAATCGCCAGCAATCGAATGCGAGAAACGACAGCCCCTTTTTTCTTTGAGTTGCCACCATCGCTGACCCCACCTCTCGGCTAGTCTTGACTTCAGCGAAGCGATCTTTAGCGTACAGATTAGTGGTCGGTATTGAATGGCGACCGTTTCACGAACTAGGTGACCTCAACGTGTCCGCTGAGGTCATCTAGTGACAATCATAGCTTCTTGTGACGGCACCTCAGCTGTCTTCTCATCAAGCAGTTCCAGAACTTGTCCTTGGCTTGCTCGGAGCATCCAGTCTGCGGAGCGTACGCAGAGAAGAAGTGGTATTTTTGTTGTTCGATGACGACAATGATCTTCATTAAACGGTCGTCGAAGCGCTCCACGCTTACTATCGAATCACGAAAGCGTTCAGAGACAATCATCCCGACGCCATTGGTGGTTCTGGGACCGCCACAGAGAACGGCTTTGAAGCCGCGGACCAAGGTCCCTCAACTTGCAGTGGAACCAGGGTCAACCGTCCGTTGGACAAAGTCCAACGCGACGACGAGAGTAATGCCGAGAGTGAACGTACGCACGGAGACACAGACGGCTCGCGGGTGGCGAGAGTGAATGCCGGCGCGGAGAGCGGTGAACATCGGTCCAACGTCGCTCCAATATCGGTCCAACGTAACGGTTGACCCTGAGTGGAACCACCTCGTTTCCTGTACGGCACAGAAATCTATTCGTTGCAGGGCTTCTGGACTAGCCTAGTTGCCCCCCGATGCCGTCCTTGCACCGGAGACCCTCGCATACTTTTCACACTCGCCGGGCTTTGCGAGTGCGCGTCGGCTCCCGCGGACGCCGTAGCATTATCTCGAGATTCATTATAGCGACATTGACATTTGTGATGTGACGTGGGTGTTCGTAGGCCGGCCTGTCACGGGGCCTGTCGCCTGCATTCGAATGTCCGTGTTCAGCTCAGCTCACAAAGTGAGCAGTTCCAGTGGCACCCCTTGGAGGAACGGACACCACCACCGAGTGGAGCCAAACTGGCAAATAATAAACTAGAAAGAACAATTCGTAATATCTGGATTGGAGATAGAGCAATGTCACTTACTGCACTCTCACCTCAACCGTTAATGGTAGTTTAATGCGAGAAATGAAAAAAATACAGTCGAT